ATTGGATCCTAAACTGAGACAGACATAACTAGAATGTCACTCAGTAAAGTGCATGCTTCTGCCAAGGCCAAACAGTAAGGGGCATATATATCTCTATGTAAGCAATGGCAGATTTGTCATATCTCAGTACATTTATGTACATACGGATTGAGATACAGTTACACAAGTCTCCATACACACAGAAATAATTTTGCTATAATATTGGCCTCAGAAAACATTCCCCTTAAATTTCGCACCCAATCCATCATTCGTTCAGACATAGTTCTAAAACTATTGAAGATATTTATAAACTGTTGACACCCTACTGAATCCACTTTCTGTATGCTACACATTGGAAATAGTTACAGGTTTTCCCCCATCCCCATGAAACCACATTGAAATCTGATAGATCCAGATTTTATATGGATTTTCACCAAATTGCACACACTCACAGATATCAGTCCTTTAAATATGTCTGATTTTCAATTCTTTTCATCAAGACCCGTGCCTTATTTCCTGGGAAGTCACTGAAAATGTTAAAAAAAAAAAAAAAAAACTCACAATCTCCCAATAACAATCTCTTGATCCACCCCTTTTTTTTGGATCTGCACCAATATTGAATGCCTTCTTTCTTGGACAATGTTCCATCCTTCTACCAAGTTTCATGGGAATCCATTCTGTAGTTTTTGTGTATTCCTGCTGACAAACAAGCAACCAACCAAAAAACAAAAAAACTATCATAGCAGTTAAGGCATAACCTCCTTGTTGGAGGTAATAAATTGATTACAATAATTTATTTTCATTCGATATATTATTTATTTTGTTTGCTTTGACTTGAACAAGGTCAACAAAGTCTTGTTATGGTGCTAGAGGTTGTTGACCCTTTGGACACAGGTCATCATTATAGCCTCAGGTCAGGATTATTAAAAAGCTAATGCCAAGATATTCAGCAAGATGTGTGTAGAGCAGGGTTGAGCACGGATTGACTCCTTAATGTAATTACACTCACTCGAGGGAGAGGAGGAGACAGAAGTGGGCTGGGGATTTGAGAGTGGGATGTGACAGCATCACAATTGAGAGCAGAGGAGTGTCAGCAGACCTGTCTCTCAGGGGTGAGTGTCGGCCTCATGGCCTCGGGGCCAGGCACAAGAGATTAAAACATCCTGGCTGTAGGGCCTGGAACCAGCACACCCAAACACAGGAGCAGGAATTAGAATAAGGCAGGAAGATGATGCATATCAGTCATCATTACTCGTGTGCTTCACTTCCATATTGTAAATGATCCATGCCTGTTTTACAAGCATGACATTTTTTAGGGTCCTGTTGAAGAAAAGAGAATCTGAGATTTCAAGAGTAAAGTAATATATTGAGAATAAAATTGTAATAGTGTGAGAATAACATCATAATAAAATTGTAACTTAATGAGAAAAATTGGATAGTATGAAAACATTATATATATGGAATTAGCAGCAAGGGGAACTCATGCTCGCCTCAGTTCAGCTCCCTCTGCCTTCTGAATTCTGAATCTTGATCACTGATGTCATTGTTTCTTCAGAAACTACAAAATCACTTTGAATGTCATGGAGGTTGCAGGCGACCACTACCAAACCGTTCCTCTTCCACAACTTCCTCCAAGTGTTTGTGGTTCATTATTCAGAATCGACTGTTTCCTGTGTGATCTTTTTAAAGCCCTCTTGATAATGTGCTGATGAGCCAAAGGATGAAGTGTTTTGTTTTTTGTGAAACCAATGCTTAAATATGACTTAATAAAATGCTCCATATTCCTCGTTTTAACACAGGTGATGGCTGATCTTCTGATCGTCCACCTCAAACTTGACACGTGGCAAAAAACGATTTATTCTTTACTTTTTATTCTATTCGTAAGCAAGACTTCAGGCAAACCTTGTTATTTCCGAGCGGTGTGATTTCCAGCGTAGACAATGTAGCTTTTACTTCTTGACATGCTATCACAGACTGGGTTGCCCACTTTGGAGTTGGCACTCACTCACACAGAGAAAGAAGAGGAGGGGGGAAATAAAGGCCCTTTGATGAAAGCACTGAACCCAGCCCCCCACTCTCACTCTTCCCCTCCCTCCTTATTCCTCCCTGCCCTGTGGAGTTAATCTGGCAAAGAGGAGGTAGCATCAGCCAATTTACACAAGCAGCAGCAGCTTCTTTTTTTTTTTTCATGCAGTGCCTTCTTTTGCTCGCCTTGCCTGTGTCTCCACCCCCTTCCACCTCTCTGTTCTTTGTGTATCCTTGTTTGCCCATGTGCACGGTGTATGTGTGTGTGTGTTACTCTACACGCACTGGGCGGTGGAATAATATCAAGTACAGTAAGGTGGAAGACGGTCCAAACCCCCCCGAGGCTGTCAACACCTCACACAAGCTGTGCGGCGGAGGTGTTGTGGCGCAGGTATCGACACCTACCTCCCCACCGTCCTCATGTGCCCTCACTTATTGTGCAGTCTGTCGCCTCGGATTCTTTGTTAGTTTCCATTCTATCTTATCATAAACAGGCTTTTGTAAGTCTCTTTTAAACAAAGGAAAGAAAACAGATTAAGTGTTCCTGATTTGGCTCCTCCCCCCTCGCATACCCCCACATAGTCACACACTTGTGTCAGCTGAACGTCCCTTTTGGGCCCCTGTGTTTATCAGACTCAGCTGTGCCCCAGGAAAAGAAGAAAAATTTGGACAAAACATGTTTTAATTAGCAACAGGGCTCAGACGGCAACAAAATAAATTGCGTGATCGGTGCAGATGAACGTGGGCGTTAATCATCTGTGTTTACTCTGTCCATCACTGCGTCTGAATAACTACCTAAGCACAAACTGTGGTTTTTGTTTTGTAATGGTATTTGTCATCCGCTGGAGAGTTGTTTGTTCCTGCTTCCTGCTCTAATGTGTTCAATAAATCCTCCGGACCCAGTGATTCTCTTGCAGTTCGGAGGCGAATCCAAACATCGCTGCCCATCAATTTCTTTGCTGCACCAGGCTTGCCCGGATCAATTAAATCAAAGGCATCTCAGCCGGACGTTAATTATTTAATGAATGGCATCTGGATGTGGTGTGGCTGTGCCTGCATCCAAGCTGTGATGGGAATGGGAACTGAAGATGTGGGATGTTAGTTTCCACCAGTGCCTCCATGTCACTCATAATTGTAAACTAATCTTTCTTCTTAATATTGTATGTACAGGGATTTGTCTGTTGCAAAATCCACAGCAGCCGTGGCTTTTGTTTTGGATAAATTAGACCTCTGACATTGGTTGCCAGGGAAACCAAGAAATTATGTTAATTTTTAATTTTAATTTTCCTTCTGGCATCCGAGGAATGTTTGTCATTGTGCAGATTGTTTTTCTTTTATTCTTTCATTTTATTGGAAAATTTTTTATTTTCATTTCTCAGTAACCAGTGACCGCCAAAAAGAATGACCGTCAGGAACAAATATATTCAGTTGGATGTTTATATGGCACCAGTTATAAGAAAATACATTTATTCAAATGAGTCTCTCTCTCGCTCTTCTCTTTTGAATTTTTAGCATCTTGAGGGAGACCAGTCTCTCCCTGATTTACACAATGAAGCATCAGCACTTTGTAAGCCCTGGGTCAATATGAGTCTGCCAGCACCTCGTGCAGCCTGTCACAGCCAATAGACTGGCTGACATGACATGTCCTGGACCAGTGATTGAATTACTGGCCATTTGTCTGCCTTGATTGTCTTCCTGTCATATCAGTGTTAATCTTGCTGGGGCCGTCGTGTCTTTGTGAGATTTGACAAAGTAATAAAAGACCATTTTGCAGTAATATGAAGATCGTCTTTGTTATTGGACACCATGAGTATCTTTAAGACGCATCCAGACTTCTAATAAGGGACTTGAATGTCTCTGTCTGACCCTTTCTTCCTTCATCTTTTCATCCTGTTTGCAAAATGTAATTCACACTGACAGTTCAAACCTCAGGATAACATGGCCCTATTCATAAATGTTCTATAAAAAATAAAAATCCCCTTTTAGAGACATATTCTTGTCTTTAAATGAAAGAATAGAATGAATGAATCCCAATGAGTTGCACAGGCTCTGATGGTGACAATTATTTTCCTCCACCCTCGCATCACTGCCACACAACCACATCTTTATAAAAGAGTTTTTGCAGCATTGTGGACTCATCAAAATGCTCAGACACAGCATGTAGCAGTGCAATTCTGTAAATCTGTACCATTTCATGCATAGAGTATTTATGTATATGTATGTGACCATGTTTTTTTGACTGCTGCAACACATTTTCACTGAATCAATGAATGGCAATGTGGAGGATGTAGTAATTACTATGGAGGAGTGGCGTGGACAGAATTACAATTAGTATGAGTAAATAAATAGTCACTGAGGATATTAAGTGGAGGAAATGCTTCCAGAATAACTGGTAGTTAAGTGTTGTACTGCTGTTTTTAAATGTGTTCATTGTTCGTTCAACTCATGTAAAATAGTAGCCTTGAACTCTCACAGCCTGTAGTCGTAGAAATTAACATTTTTTTTAAATTTCATAACAAACTAGAATGGCACTCAGAGGAGCACATACCTCCACCAAGGCTCATCAGTCCCTTAATGAAACCAAATTTTAATTTAAAATCCAGATTTTTATCAAACTCCAAACAGTGTCTATACTTTACCTGTCAGTTCCCTAAACATGTCTAATTGTTTTTCATCCAGGTCCATGAACTATTCTGAGAGATTTCCCGCTTGTGGGACTAATAAAGGATTATCTTGTTTTATCAATGAAAATGATGAAAAATCTCACAATGTTAAAGAACTTAGAAAAAAAATTGGGATCCACACCAAATTTGATCGGTTCTTCCCTGACTTATATATGAACCATCCCCCAACTTTTGTGGTAATCTGTCCTGTAGTTTGTTTTTAATCCTGCTAACAGACAGAGAGACAAACAGACGATGAGTGAGAAGAAAATATTTGTCATTCCAAAAAATCATCTAATTGTTGTTTGACATCTCTCTCATGCTTCTCTCTAGACCTTTAGCAAGAACATGTCAGATTGGTTGACTTTTCTGATCACATGGAAGACACGCCTACCCCAAATCACAGTGGAGTGTGTCCTGGACAAACCAGACAAGCAGCTCTGAGTCCAGGTGAGCAACATCATCCCTTATCTTTTAGTAAGTGACTTAGCAGAGTCCAGACACACACACACACACACACACACACACACACACACACAGCTGTAATAACTGCTGTATTTAAGTCCAAGTTTAATCTAATAAACATGATGAAAACAATGATTGATAAAATCTTAAAACAGGAAGATTAAAAAATGAATCTAATGATCGGTAGCATTAAGTATTAAAAGCTGAAAAGGTTGTTGGTAAGGCCAAACAGAACGACGGAAGGGTTGAATAGCAGATAACGGTGGGTCTGGTTGGGCCGAACAGAGGTGCAGAGCCGACATCTTGTTTCTTGGCACAATTTCTGAACTAGTTCTTTACTTATTTCTTCCTGTATTGAGCGTTGTGATACTTTCACAGTATTTTCTGGCACCTAGACCTGCTTTATAATCAGAAAATACATGGAAATCTCACTATCTAAAATATGGGACCTTTTAATAATTCAGACATAGTAGAATATGTATGCTTTCTCTCATTGACTACTTGAGATGCACAGACTGAGACTATTCAAATATTGATTTTCTCCCTCTCTGCGATTGTGTTTTAATGCGCGGCACCGGCGATTTAGAATTTTCTGTGACATATGAAACAAAGGAGTGTGAGGAGGTAGTTAAGCGACATCAATGAGTCTGCTTCTTGTCTCATCCTCTTCCTGTGCTTTTGAAACTTTAGCTCAGGATTTGCATTTGATTCCACATAACATGATGGTATTTTTGTGGCATTCTGTTATAAAAGACATAAATTCCACCTTGCAGGATTAAGCAGCTCACTAATCTAACCAGAGTAACTGCCTTGCATGTGTAAATTTTCGTTTTACAGCCTGTCAGGCCCCCAGCAAGGCGCTTGGAAGCACAAGTTCAGAGGAACTCCTCCACAGCTGTAATTCATCCGATGCAGTTTTCAAAACCTCATCGTTCACCTTGCTCCTCTGATCCGGACCCGGCCTGGCACATATTATTTAACAGGGAGATGAATGGCCGATTGGGCATTTCTAGTGTGTCATGGCATAAGTCATGATAAATAACAGGAGTGGACTGACAGGACACAGGACAGTAAAGAGTAGAGATATCAACATCAACACAGGCTCAACCAACCGCAATGTAATCTTGCAAGTCATTAAATCACTGGCAGAGAAATATGAGTCCAAGGTTATTGAGCGCAGCTTGAGTGATGGAGACTTGGAGTGGACCACGAGGCTCAAGTTGCTGAGGAAATTAGATTTAACACTGTCATCTCAGACCTTCCCAAGCAGAGAAGAAAAAAAATCTAGTGGAACTGAATTCTATCTGTTGATGCAACGCTTGAGATGTTTAGTGGATTATATTGGTTGAAATTATGGACTATAACTTTATTAGGTATGAATCAACACAGTTGAGCTGTTAATTGTCTTTTTCCTTACGAGGCTGTTGTATTAGTTCTGATGGACAGTACCTATCTACTACATAATGCAGGAGGAGAAAGGCAACAAAGGGTGAGGTGAGAGGGGTTGATGATGTGTGGTGGAGAGGGGGTAGGCGGGGTACACCATCCAATATGTGATGGACCAGATGCTGTACCCTCAAGCGAGGTATTTTACCCCAAACGGTACCTGTAAAAACTCCATCTGTTGAAATAGGCCCTGGAATATGTCAGCACTAGCTGAAGGCTCTCTTGCGGTGCAGTAGCTGGCTGTGTGGCTCTGAGGATCATGTGTTGTCAGCTGTACCCTATGGGCTGAGAGAGAGAGAGGGATGCTGCTATAACAGTCTGACAGCAGGGCTGTGGCAGCCACAGACTGCACCAATCTCCCCAGCGCCCAAGAGGAGGAAGACGGAGACCCTATCATAACACAGACCTCATGTAGTTGAATGTCAATGTGGTGGAGAGACAGCAAACAGCCCCTTCTTCTGAATGTCACTGAAGGTGCCATATGCATACAGCTGCAACATTTGCTCCCTCGGATGACAATAAAATGGTCAGAAAGCAACTGGACAGATGTGCCACCAGCTGATCCGTCCTCTAAGGCGAGAAAAAAGTCAGCCTGTTCACAGTGCATGGGAGTTTTACTCTCGGGGAAAAAATGTGCATGTGTCTGCACATGTGTATGCATTCAAATTTGCGTACAAGTTTTGAATTGTTATTTTTGGGCGTCTCTTCAAATCAGCTTCTCAGTGTGGTGATGAGGTCACAGTAATTCAGGGAACACGAGCCCTGCAGCTCGCTCAAAGAACGCATCAGGCAACGTCTCATATTGTATGATGATGTGAACACTTGTAAATAGAGGCAAATCCCTGCTTGGAATTACAACCATGTCATGTACATAGTGTTTGTGCTTATGCAGAGTTTGACCTTACGGCGAGCCTCAAACTAAGTGATTCAGTCAAAGCGCTGCTGAATGATCATCACTCCACACGCTGTAAAGCTCCCTCTGCACTGGGAGGCAAAACAGTGCCTGCAATTTTTACGTCCAGTGTCAGGGGCGGGGTAAATGTGGTTTGCTCCCCATGGTTGTGGTCATAAACTGGTAATCTGTGGATGTGCCGCGGTCTGGTGTCACCCCACTGTGATCCAGGGCTTACACTGTGGTTATACGCAGGCATCTGTCCTCTATCTGCACTTGGAGGACATTTATACCCCCACTAGCAAAAACTCTAATATGTTTTATTTTCAAATGAGGTCAAGCAGTAGAATGAAACCAAAGATAAGCAGTGTCTATATTTTACCTAACATTCGTCGGGGTAAAGGTTTTGTTAAAAGTTTCATTTCCCTCAATTCAAAGACTACTCATTAAAACTAGTTTTCACACCTGCAGCAGTGGTGAATGGGTGTGTGCATGGAAATAATCAATCCCCATAGCAGTAATCAATAGGGGGAGAAGTATGCAGTAATTTAGTTAATTAAAAGCTGGGGGGCATCAGACAAGACTGGGCGTTAGATCTCCATTTTAGAGGTGGCATAATTATGTGTAATACTTTGTAAAATGGCTGATAGGGATTTCCTGCCCAGGCAAGAGAATGCTGAATATTCATCAGGCATTGTTAAATGGTGTTTGTAGACATATTACCACTTTGGGAGGTTTACCCTTGCTCTTCAGTTACTCGTCTAAAGAAGCATTAGTGCAAAACAATTCCACAGGCCACAGTGTTAAATGAAGTACTGTGTCTGCATGTTAACTAAACAGAAGCACGTCTCGTGGACAAGACACAAGAGAAGCTCCACCTATGTGCCAACCGTCCTGACAGGAGAAAGAAACCCCAATTAGAAGTAATCTGTGGAAGCTAAGTGGACTCTGAGTGGAAGCCCAAATCAAATAAGAACATGAGGGATGGATTCTCTCCAATTCAGAGTCATTTTGATGGGCAACCTGAGCACGGTGGAGCATATGGCAGACAATTCAGATGTGTTTTGATAGTGTTCATAAGCAGAGACCATTGCCATGCTTAATTTCAACCCAAGTGCACTTTGCTAAAGATAAACGCAGCATAGAAAGATGACAGGGTGTAAATTGGTGCGTAATTGCATTCTCCAGGGAAAAATCTGCACACAAATCTTCTCCCATATGTGATACACCTACAGGAACGTGCTGGTTATTTGCACAATTTGCATTGTGCAATTTTATGCCGATGTCTGTTCGTCTTTATTACTTCTTGTTTGTTTGACAGACGTTTTGTGTGTGGAAATGGTGCGCTGAGGATACGCTCACAATATGATTGTGTCTCCAGCCACAGTAAAGCTGGTCTAATATCATCTCATCCAACTCGATCACATGGTGTCATTCTACATTTCTCTCAAATGCTCATGGCATTGAATTCACTTTAAGGGCACGGTCACACCGACTTTGTTTTACCTTGAGAATTTTCTGAACCAGAATAAGTGTGAAAGGTGCCTCTGGACATCAGAGTTAATGAATTCAGCTGGGTCATTTTCACCCCTGTCTACAAACCAATCAACTCAAGTATAGGTAGATGCTAAGTGAGATGTGGTCTCTCCGTTTCAACTGCATTTTCATGTGTATAATATTTAAAAAAACTGATTGGCCCAGGGAATGCTACAATTTTTTTCTGTTACTTAGAGAATCCTCTCTGTTTTAACTTGGGCACAGATGTATTAGTCCTGGTTATGACATGATGTGATCCTGAGTAGATGCTGGAACTGAATTGTACCTTTCTACAATATTAAGGCCTTGATCTACTGTATCTAATGAGTCCGGAAATATCTGTCTGTCTGTGGCTCGTATAACTCTTCATTGTATCACCAATGCCGTAAGGAAGTGCCAGATCTGGACACAAAACATGTTGGTTATTGATAAACTTTAGAATGGCCAACTGATCCTCAGGTTCGGGGTTCTTTGTACTGAGTCAAACTCTGCCGAACTTGGAATAAGCAGGAGAACAGCTCTTTGTGCAGCAATGGTGAAGCAGCTTCACGGTTCTGTGGACTGAGTCCTGCAGCCGATCTTTATTTGCTGAGGCTCGATTACTGCAGGTCACTTTTACAGTTTCAGAAAGAAAATCCTGCAAGCCAAGCAAGCAGCCCATTCCAAACATGTTTAGAAAGGGTACCGCTCGAGTAACAGTAATTCATCATAAGGACAATGTATTATTATAACTACATATATAGCTTGTTGTAGACACTGACACCTACCAGCATGCAGATATCCACTAAACGTATTTCTGTGACTTATTCAGGGTGTTCTGTCTCGACAGGAGGAGCACAGAGCTGCAGGGCATGTCGGTGCGATCCACATGTGGCTGTCACTCTCTGTTTGAAATGTCTATAAAACATGATGGATATTGTAGCTCCTCTGCCTTCTAATGGGCTGACAAACTCTCTACATAAATCTGTGTTGAGGCAGCTGAGGTCAATTGTACTATCATATTATGATTTAGATTTTAATCTCATCATGCTTCTTGATTCATTCTTTCGGACAAATCCCTTGTTTGTTTGTGTAAGTTCTGCAGAGTTGTTTTCTTTGGCACTAAGGGAGGGACAGCTGGACCTCCGGCATATCTCCA